TGATATAAACATGTAATTAGGTGTTGTTTTAATGATATATTTCATTTATATCATTACTAATATTACGATAATGATTATGATGATATTTTTATCTGTGCATGAAATCATAGGTTTACCTTGTACGTTTCACTGTTACGTAAGATTGTTTAATTATAGAGTAGTAAAGATAGTCAATACTTAAACACTAGAATCTATAGTTTAACTTGTATTCATATCATACTATTTATTGATCATTTTAACGTAAAACACAAATAATTTGATAGTTGCAATCACTGCGTGAAGTTACTTTTCTATCTAGTAGACATTAACTAAAAAACCATTAATAACCAAGAAATCGTTTAGATAATTATTTCATCCAACACATATCTGTAACCTTACACTTGATCAAACCCAAACCTTGCATATCTTGTGGGTGAATATGTTGCTCATAGATCACTGATCGAGTCAAGATCAATCTGTTCATGCGAAAATCTATTTCTGTTCTCAAATAACTATTTCAACGATAAATTATAATCACCATCTAACTGATCATAATGACATTATAGTTTTTCATCTCAAAAAATGTGCAAAATACTAAGTACACTCATTATTCAGTCTTACAATAAAACAATAATGCTTTATAGATCTTATAGCTATTATTGTAAATAACATTGCAAAGCTTAAAGCTGTGGTCTGATTGAAAACATTTAAATATATGCGTACACAAATACATGTGATGACACAGTGGGACGTAACACGAAAGACGTTTTTTGTACTTTGATTCCACTGTTAGCTTTTAGTGGATAAATGATAAAGTTGTTTCTACGTTATACCCATAGTGGTTTAGTTGTTTACCAGTTCTTGTTGATTTTCATTGGCTAAGAAACGCATATTAATCCAATGAAAAGCAATTTTTAACTACGTGACTTTCATATAATGACAATTTTCATATTTTATTTCCGTATACTGTAGATCATTAGTTTGCTGGATATGATATTTGGTTTTCAACCAGTAGGTTTTATTTGCGAATTCCGCGCTGCCTGTTTTGGTTTGGGGCAGCCAGTTAGTATCATTAACCTTCATACAAATAGTTAATTAATTAACTAGTTATTTAGTGAGTTAGTTGAAGGTCACTTTTCATTCCAATTTATGTTTCAGTACGATGGTACATAATTCGGTTGATAATTAAGATAATGAGTGCGGATAATTTTAGGATAAAGTGAACTGGACATTCGAATTGTTGTCTTTTTTCGACCTACATTTACTGCCTTTGTTCACTATTATTTTAAGTAATTTGATTTAATTATTTTCATACATTACAATAGTTTATGGAGATAGGTTTCTGTACATTTATCTAAAGCTTAATGACTCAGCCATTACAATCAATATTCAGAAGAAAATTAGTATTTTTCGTTGAGGGATATATAAGTTACCATTCACGCTAATGCTTTATGATTTCTCTAGATCTCTTGTTGGATCATAACAGAAGATAAATCAACAGATGAATACATCCAGGATGGAAGTAGATAGTTGTACTTTTCTATAAATTGACTATTTGGTTCCTTTTTCAGTTTACTTTTGTCAGTAAAGAAAGAATTGCTGTAATATGTTAGAATTTTGAGAGATTAAAGTAGAGCTGCAGTTCAAGAGATCTATTTTTCTAGTGTTGTTATGTTGGCCGACACAAATTTAATCATGTTAGTGATCAAGTCAAAAGCATTGAAAGTTCCAGCCATCACTCCGTAATTGATGCTATTCTATTTGAAATTCAGTAGATTTTCATCTTTTTAAACAGCCAATAATGTTATTTCTTGACATCAACGAACTAATATTCAATCTACACGTTAATTCGTTTAACATAATATTTAGAAATTGATTCCTTTAAAAATAATCCTTTTTTTTCAATGGAACAACGATTATCCATCCACATTTTTCTCATTTGATTAATCCTACTCTACATATTGTATTGTATGTTTGAATCTTCTCATTGATATTTAGGACTGCAATTGATCAGTCTCTTATTGGCATCTGTGCATTCTGTGCGAATCGCCTCTCTACATAAGTTAAAATATTTTCTGTGATAATGTTTCTCACAGAAAATTGTATTATTCCTATTTCCCTTCATTTTCTATCGCAGTAAAATTACATTCCATACATTCCATACTTTCTCTGTTTTGTTTATAACTACTTCTAAGTATATTTTACTTTTGTTTTTTTTGTAGTGTTTGCCTTAAAAGTTATTCTCGTATGGATAGCTGAAAGTTGCTGTAGTTGTCTTCTTCCTTTATGTTTTCTTTTTTTCTCAGCTCAAATATGTGACTCATTATTGCGTGATAAAATAGAATTCAAAATTGTTGATAGATTGAGAGAAAGAGAAGAAGAGGGATAAAACCTAACTGAATCAATGTTTGTGATGACTAAATGAAAAAATTAAAACACATGGCTATAACAGCAGCATTGTAGTAAAGGAGAACACACAAGTGGGGACAACTGAATGTATTTGAATGCAAAATTACAGAACGTCTTAGTAAAATCTGTGAACCATACAGCAAATACTTCATTTGCAAAGTGTCAATCAATTGTCTCAGACTTGGTCGTTTCTTCTTTCCAATAATAATAATAATTCTCGTTCTCTTCTCTTTCATCATCTTAATATTCTGCCGCCAGGCATTTCACTTTCAATTGGTGATACATACTACTTATATCTGTCGACATCAATAGCACACACTATAGTATCGTTATTTTGTACAGGGCAGTAATCATTTCTTTCCACACTGTTTATATATATATATATATATATATATATATATATATATATATATATATATATATATATATATATATATATATATATATATATATATATATATATATGACTGTACATGTTTTTGTTCATTAGTATATATATCTTGCAAGAGTCTCTAATAACCCAAAAACTCCTAGGAGCGTTTCATTCAATCAGCTATCAGAGAGACATCTAAAAAAATGAAAGATTACATGTCACATTTTGGTTAGATAATTACCTACATCGTTATTATGTTTCATATGTTCCCGTAAGAATAAAACCATTTTAAGCTCTGAACGCACTCGATTTTCCACATATAATTAACTTCACATTTCTTGCCTTTTCTGTACTTTTATCTGGAATGTAGATGTAACCAGTGGTTATAAGTAGTGGCTAGGAAGCCACCAAAAATCGTTCCATTAACAGACGTATCATTTTTTAATATGACTTTTATAGATTGTCACGTCCATCATTCAGTTCATCCTCTGTATAGTACTATTGTATAGTTATTTCAACTTGTTAATCTAAAAAAAAGCTAGCTGTACATAGCATTATTGACAGTACACTAAAGTTACTTACCTTCTTTAAAAAAAAGACTGTACCTTTTTTAAAATTTCAATCGAAGTTCACTTGTATGGGTGGTCCGCTAATGTCGTTGTTTTCTTTAAAGTTTTATTTTGGTGGCATTTTAATCAGTGAACTATTTTTTTTTGAAGACAGGGTGTGCGTGTGTGATGGTGAAAGTGAGTAGAAGACATAGTATATAGATGTTTATTGTTTAGTCTGGTTATTATCATCTAAGCTATGTTTGTACGGATATATGATTATTATATCGTGATCACTTGTCGCCGTTCTTATTTTTATCAATAATAACCTAGTTTTGTGCTTAGAGAAATCTACTAGTATTTTAAATTAAGCTAATCTAACTGATCAATACATCTGCTCTGTTTTAGTCATTCATAAAATATCACTAGCCTATACACAATAAGGTGTATCTCAAAGACAACCATTCAGTCATAAAATCAGATTACTTATGTACTTCAGTTTATTTGTTCTCACTACTGTCTATAAATGATCATACAGTTATTCATTGACCTTTTATTTTCATTGGTCACCTCCTCCAGTTAATGACAATCTGTGTTGAAAATCAACTGGAACTCAAAGTTATCACTACAAACTTTACGTCTAAGTTTTTCTTTTGTAATGAAGTTCTTTGGTCACTGTTAAGCACTACACTAATCAACGATTGATTGGTGTAAATATGTCGGTTCAACAACAGGTTATTTGTTGTAGCCTTAATAACTTAGTAACTATACTGCTGATTGTGGCACACTGTCTGATTAAAGTTAGGATCGTTAGTAAACGAAACTAACTCTTGGCCCCCATAAGATGGCAAATGCACATATTCTTGTTCATCACCACAAACATAAAACCCTGGCGCATAATAAATAATCTCTAATAATGTCATATTAAACGAATTGCTTTTAAGCATAATCATAAGATTAAACTAATTGCATGAATTTGATGTGGAATCTTCTCACAGAGTGACTTTTTTTTCAAAATTATAACTTAGTATTAAAATAGTTATTTGAGATAACTTCATCTGTTTTATGACCTTTACAACTTGCTTGTTTGCCTTGTTTACTTCACAATTTGAAAATTATAGTTCCATTAGTAGTTGATGCATCAATTTGAAAAATATTCCATCATTCTCACTACTATTTATTTCTTATTTCTATTTAGAAATATTCTTCTAAGTGAATTTTATAAAGAAAATATTTATGACCTAAAAAAATTTTTTACTGTAAAAAGAACATTTCAATTATTATTATGTGGATGGTAGCTGGTAATGGGATCCATAATATAAGTTTCGTTCTACTTGGAAGTCATAAGTTAAACATACCTGCATCGCAGAACTTATGCTCACAACCGGACTCGAACTCACTGACTCTCCTTTTGTACTTTCAACAGGTTATTCACTAAGTTACTGAATCCAAACAGCCACTCAGTTGTCTGATGGATATGATATCTCTGATACTGGATGAACTTCAACACTGGGATACACATACATCCAGCTGATGAGTCCCAAACAAGATGAAGTATGCCTTTTAGATTCCATTTCTAGATCCAATGCATCTATTGATTAGCAGTATTCCTGTCATGTTTTTAAAGTTTATTTTGCGCTTCAGTGACATATTTTAATGCTGTAATAAATTATTTATTTGTGTTTTGATAGATACCGTACATCCTTCATCGGTCAATCAAGATCATTGTAAACGACCTAGAATGCTATGGGCTGGTTATTTTTGTGTACCGGACTTATCATCTATTCCAAATAATTTCTCTACACTTGGAAAATCTGAAACAATAATGAATTCTAATATCTTTATCACTGCTGGACCAGATGCTACTCCAGACTTGGATTCAGTTATACCTAATGTAAATTGTTTTTACTATTGTTTATTATTAATAATTTTGTCCGTCTACTCACTTTTTTGTGTATCATTAAGTTCCTTTCACTTACATATCCAGTCCTTAAAAATTAAAACAGGATAGATTTCAATAGATTAATCAACTGACTAACTTAATAAGATTATATAATTAAAAAATTCATGATATTTTTGAACTATAGATAACTTTTCAGATTAATCAGTGATGACACTCCTAATTACATAATAAGTAATTGCTTTGTATTGTTGTCTTTCCTACCACTGGTGCACCGTCATACTTTTCAAATACCAACTACCACTGAAAACCAGAGGTTATCCGACTATTAAATTCCAAATCAGTCGTCTAGGGGTGATTATTATTATTATTATTATTATTTTATTTATTTATTTTAACACGTAGATATTGGTACAGGGAGGCACCAAATACATATGCGCCACATAAATCTCATTCGATATGTTTAAGGGCTGTGATACTGCCTGGGTGCCCACACCGAAGCAGGTGGTTTTCTTGGGGGGGGGACACTCCTCGAGCCTTCAACCTGAAGGTGTGATCCACAAGGCAGTGGAGCATCGTAAGGAGATGCAGTCCCATGGTAGCCGGTGACCAACGATTGGTTCATACGCCATTTGTTCCCACAGGATACTGGAGCCCATGTGCACCATTGGTTTGGAATTCGGCTAAAGCGCCTGACATTCGCTTTTCGTCCTCTTATTTTCGTAAACAACACCGCCGCCACGAGAATGCAGTGAGTAGGACTATCCTGGCAGAGGCTATATACGCGTGGCCATGTGAGAGCATTTCGAGAGGGAGAGCGAACTCTCTCCACTCTCAGCCGTACCAGGGCATTTGGGGGTGATACACTTATCACAAGACCTAAAGGTTGTGGATGAAGTATTTTAAGATGTCTGAAATTAAGATAAAACATTTATTCAATGATCCCTGATTTCCAACAGTTCTCCAGTTGAAGTCAATTCGCTTGTTAAATCATAAAGGTATTATTAGCCTGTAAACTGGAAAAATACAATGTTGCTACAACTTTCCGATTCAGTCAGCTGTTTTGTTGTCATTCTTATTGCAATGTCGTTACAATCTGTGTTTTTAAAGTATATTATGTCAATCAACCAGTATGTTTGTTTATCTAATTCGGGGTGGTCAATATGATATTGTTCTCATACCAATCTTTTTGAATTTACTTTCAAAATATATATATAATTGTTAGAATTGATATGGGGTTTTAATGTTGGAGAACTATGGAAATCTAGTGAACACTGATTAGTTGTTTTCTTTTAAGCCATATTCTGGAATTCCCCACCAGTTAACACCTACACTAACGCCATGAATTGAAATTAAATCCTTGATTTCTCCTGGTGAGTGTATTACATTTTAACAACTGATTTAAAATCCACTAAGCCACATTTCGATTTCCGTAATAATTGTCATCCTGGTAAAAAAATTGTATGGTAGCACTCTACTCATCATAGCTTACCCTACAATTATACATAGTTTACTTAGTTATTCTCTATGATAGTATTTTTTTCTTCTGGACAATTTTATTTAACTCAACATCAATTCATACTACTCATTATTTATTCAGATTATCATTTCTTTTCCTATGATCATATTTGACTGAATTACAGTAGTATGTTTTTCAATGTATGTACTATTCATGATTGATTTTTATTTCAGTGTTGATTTTTATGTATTTAGCAAATCAGTCTGTAGTGTTGCGTAATAACTATTCTGTGTTAAGTTTGATTTAAGTTGGCATGTAATGATTTATAATATTGTTTCTTAGTCCGCTAGTATACCGTATAAAGAGTGTGGAATAAATATGTCTCAATTGTAAATTGTCATTATAAACTACTTACTCGTTAGTGAAAACAAGTTATGTTTTTTCGTCTTTTATTCCATATACTTGTTTCCTTTTGTTACTTCCACATCGGCTTTTTGTTCAGAGAAATAAAAGAAAGAAAATGTTCTGGCTTATTCTTTTCTCTTTTTTTTCCAGAAAGTAATAAAATGTAGGAATCTAATTTTAGGAGGGGGGAAATAATTATGTTTGGGTAAATTTCATTTTAAATATTGAATATTACCCGGGTTAGGAGAATAATATTTAATTAAATCAGTAATTCTATGTAGATTTTGTGAACACTTTTTATATGAGGTGTTTTTCAGTCGACGTACATTATAAACTAACGTTAACTGGTAGGTAAAGCAAGTGAGAGAGAAACAGAAAAACATAGTTGAAAGAATACGACTGTTTTATCAGAAGGGGTTTGTGGAGATTTTTAGAAATTTTCACAGATTGAAGTCATGAGTCAGTTGAAGCTAGACCACCATTGAAAACCTGGAAGCACTGGACGGCCGTCTCGTCCTAGTATGGGACTCCTCAGCAGTGCGCATCCACCGTTGGATGCCGGCTCAGTGGTCTAATGGTTAAGTGCTCGCGCGCGAAGCCAGTAGGTCCTGGGTTCGAGCCCGCGTGGTGCGGGATCGTGGATGCGCACTGCTGAGGAGTCCCATGCGACTGTTTTGTCGTAATTACAAATCATTTGTTAGCAATCTTTACATTCATGAAATTAAACCTTGGTTTTCAATAATTTTATGCTAAATTGACGCTAACTTATCGAGATAAGTATTTCGCAAATGGTAAAATTTGTTTTTAATAACTTTTGGTGACGTTAAATTTGAATCGATTGCCTTTAACATCATGGTTTATTGAATAGAACAGTTGGCTTGCAACAATAATAAGTCACAAGTTTTAATCCTGTTTCAATTATTTGGATTTGATCAATCAATTAGTTATTACTAGTTTACATTCAAATGGTATAACTCAAAGCTAAGTACATAAATTCACACTCAGTACATATTCTAACATACCAAAAATAGTATTTACCTTAAATTGTTTAGATCTTTGTGACTGTATAGATTTGTCGTGGTGCCATTGTCACCTCCCGCCTTCTCTCATTCGACTATACCATAAATAGGCGCAACTGTACCTAGTTTGGTTGGAATGAAAAATTGTCCTACTTTCTTGAATAATGACAAGAGGAAATCATTAAACGACAGATGTATGTGACCTTGACAGGCGGTGTGTCTGTATTCGATGACATTCTAGTAAATGAATAAAAAAAAAATCAATGAATCATTTATGCGTCATTGAAGAGTATTAATCTGCTTACCTTTTTCGCTTATTGAATTTCTTTTTTCCAATATTTTGTATAGTAGTGATATTGTTGCTGTTGTCAAAATCCTACTAAATCAGTTTGACATTCTGACGATAATCAAGCAGATTGTTGTTGTTGTTTCAATTTAGGTAGATCAGTAGGTAAGTATAAATGACAGAAATATACATAAAACACAATATCCTGACTCAATTCTTGCTTGAAAATTCCCAATTGATTTCATTTGTTTAAATTAACTGATAATGAAATTTTATTTAAATAAAGTTATGATCGTATTAGAATTTCAACTAAACAAATTACATCATTCAAATAATAAAAAACTTGTCTTGTAAATAAATAAGCACGTATACTCATTCTACTATTGTCGAGTGAACTCTAATAAAAGAAACTGGATTGTAGAAGATTATTGTAAACACTTTCGATTTCTAGACAACAGTGGGTCATATATTTAATTTATATTGAGAATTTGATAGTTGTTTGTTACGATTCAGTGGTTCTAGTGCATGTGCCTAGGTTCAAGTCATGATTTTCTTCATTAAATTATCTATGGACAAATCTCATGTACAAAGTTTCATCCTGATAATGTATTTTCACGTGATGACCGAAATCAATAACTCCTAAAAGAATTGCTACACTTTAAGTTTAAGACTCACTACTTCCCCTCCCATCGAATTAGTCAGCTAAAAATCTTAACATCCAGTTTTCTCAAAGGATAATCTAGGAGGCAATATGTATCTTTTTATCTGTGAATTTGTATTCATTGAGATTGAAAAAATATTCCCTGAAAGGGAACTGTAAAGTCAACCAATTCCAGAGTTAAATTTTCAGTTTTCAACGGTATTGAGTAAAAATGTGCTGTATAAGCCCTTGAATTAAAGGCATAATATCTATCATCAAGACTGAGGGTTTTCGGTCTCTATACCGTATGCGTGTCTCACGGACATACATTCGGGTGTAAAATGAAACAGTTTTCGATCTTCGATGATTTCCTATGGTTGTTTAGATGACATCAGTGTGGGATAGCAATTACATTCAAACTGTATGAAGTTTTTTATATAACTGTATATAACAGTACAAAATATACACATCATTTCATAAGGTAGATATACGTTTTCAGTAATATTGAGCCATAAATTTTGTACATAGTTCCATTAACAATTTTTTTGTATTTCACATACTTAAGCAGTCTATGCATTCTGCTTTTGTATAGAAGTTCAATTAATAGTTTATTTATTAATCTAAGACAAGTGTTTTCAGTATTTTACAGACTGTCTAGCCTTTACATTAAACACTAAAAGCAATTACATAATAGTAATAATGATTAACCTTGAACTATTTATGCTTTTTCATGCAGATTAGGGTAGAAACTTTCTTTGTTACTGAGCCGTCTAATCTAGTTTGGTATGTTTCTCATGTTATTAGGTTAAATAAATAAATAAACAAATCAATATCTGTTAATTAGTGAAATATTTTATTTATATACTTCAATACAATTAGTATTAGTATATGTATGTATCATGCATAAATTAAGGTATATGCATCGTCATATGAAATAATATAAATTTTGTAGTGTTTATAAGCCTATGATATAACGGTTATTGATGTATGCGCTTGAACTCTATCCAACAACTCTGTATTTATATAAGCAATGAGGGGTTGGTGGCTAGCAGTGGAATCCAGGACACTCGTCTCGTCAGCAGGATGTACTGGCATCCCAGAGTTTATGTTCACTCTGGGACTCGAACCCAGCACCATTCGCTTCAAACGCCATCGCGTTATCCACTCAGCTACTCAGTCCTGACA